AACTATACACTGAGGGAGTGATGGGAGACTTTACAGAATGTAAGCGATGGGGGCTATACTGTATGTGGGCGAAAGGGGTTATGTGATCCAATGGATGTCTTATGCGGGCGATGGTAGGTTATATGTGGGCAATGGGAGGTTATATGTGAGCCATGGGATGTTTTATTTGGACGATGGTAGGTTATATGTGGGCGATAGGAGGTTATATGTGGGTAATGGGGGGTTTTATGAGGGCGATGGTAGGTTATATGTGGGTGATGGGAGGTTATATGTGGGTGATGGGAGGTTATATGTGGGTGATGGGAGGTTATATGTGGGCAACCTATCGGTTTGTTAAGTTTGGCACGCAGGGCTGCAGTATAAGATCATACAACTGGGGCTACCCGAAAATCTGACGCGCCTGCTGTGCAACTTCATTATGGACCGCAGAGCCAAAATCAAGATGCAAGAACATTTTGGAGAAGAATTCTCACTATCGAGCTGCGTGCCTCAGGGCTATTGTCTCTCACCAACCCTTTACACACTCTACACGGCTGACCTGCCACCCCCAATCGTCGGCAGCGAGTACGTCATGTATGCCGACGATGTAACACAGATCGTCACCTGCCCAGGAAGGTCCACGGCAAGGATGGCGCGACTCACTGCTCGGGCAATAGAGGAGATCTCGGAGTATGAAAATAAATGGAAAGTAAAAACAAACAAAACGAAATTTGAGGTCATACCCATAGCCAAATTCAAGCCAGCGCCATTGATGATCGACAACGAAAAGATTGAGTACTCTAAAGAAGGCAGGTTGCATCGGCCTCATCATCTCTCGGACGGGCATCATTCCCCACGTGAAGGACAGACTAAATAAAGCCAAAGTCGCCGCAACCAAATTAAAACGTTTTAAATTGATGCCTGAGAAGATGCAAGTTCACCTGTACAAGGCGCTGGTGAGGCCTGTGTTGGAGTACCCATCTATACCACTCGTCACACTCGGGAAGACTAGACTACAACAACTACAGAGCTTCCAAAACAAGTGTTTGAGATCTGCCAGTGGCCAAGCGCCACCCTACCAGGAGACAGTGGAAACCATCCACCTAAGAAATAAAACAGAGGCCCTCAACGTCAGGTTCCATCGCCTAGGGAAGAAGGTTTGGGACAAGCTCCTGGACGACCCTCACAGCCCAGAACACCTACGCGGGGAAGACATCAACGGAGGGAGACCCCTCGCCTGGTGGCCCCGGAGTCTGCCCGCACTACAACAACCCAACCCGCGACCCATCTATGTCCGCCACAGTGATCCACCTTAGATTAAAACTTAGATAATATAAATTCACATTTAACAAGTCACAATCAAGTGAGTCCATAACGTAATACAGTATAAGATTTTAATAAATCTGTAATTGTAAAATAAATCTAGTCATTGTCTACTAAAATAACCATTGTGCAACCTCATCGTAAATCCTAGGTTAGCTTAGTTAGGCAACAAAATCTGTAATATGTAAAACACGGGGTGTCGTCCCCCTCTGAATTGAATTATAAGTAAATGAGTACGTGAAAATGTTAAATTTATATTGCATCAGTAATATATAAAGTATGGCACTTATTAGTTAAAAACTGAACTATCATGACGTTTGACATGTGATTATATGCTGTAGAATATATTTGCTGTGTGTAAAAATCTACTGCATGTCTGTGAATACCATAGAGCGATACCACCACTGTGTCGTGACGTGTTGACGCAGTGTCTATTATAATTAGGAATGTCATACAAATGTTCAATATCGTTAGTGAGTTTGGTCTCACAGAACCCAAGTACATCAAATTTGTGGGCAATAGAAGATAAACGCTGATCTTAAAAGGTATCTACTGTAGATGAAGGGGAATACTGCTGATGTTATGGCTAATCAAGGAGAAGGAATGAGGTAGTATAAGACTAGAACTAAACTCGGGAGAGTCAGGAAAGTAATAGTTACAGTTGGGGTTGGAGTAACCCAGTGAGTTTTGTAGAAAGGCATCAGGATCGATATGAGAGAGTATTGTGTCGACACCAAGGGTAAATGGGGTGTAACACATACGATCTAGCACATCTAAGGGAATGACACTAGTACATCATTGTGAGAACAATTCCCCTCCCGGCGCCATTTTTGTTGTCTGCCTCGTTTAATCACTTTTCAAGAGACGTTTCCTAAATGATGTTGAACGCTTCCACGTATTCCTCCTCGCCATTGCTGATGTATATCAACCTTAATATTAAGGTAAGTTGTGTAAGCTGTTTAACACATAAATTAACACAATAATGCAAAGAAGCTAATAGAACCTGACCTTTTTTTGGGGGGGTCAAGGTGGGGAAAGGATGGAAGGCATGCTGGGGCTGAAGGCACAGCCAGTCATGGTCGTGGGGGAAAGGTTGGAAAAGAAGTTTAATGAGTTAAACAGAGGGGGACGACACCCCGTGTTTTACATATTACAGATTTTGTTGCCTAACTAAGCTAACCAAGGATTTACGATGAGGTTGCACAATGGTTATTTTAGTAGACAATGACTAGATTTATTTTACAATTACAGATTTATTAAAATCTTATACTGTATTACGTTATGGACTCACTTGATTGTGACTTGTTAAATGTGAATTTATATTATCTAAGTTTTAATCTAAGGTGGATCACTGTGGCGGACATAGATGGGTCGCGGGTTGGGTTGTTGTAGTGCGGGCAGACTCCGGGGCCACCAGGCGAGGGGTCTCCCTCCGTTGATGTCTTCCCCGCGTAGGTGTTCTGGGCTGTGAGGGTCGTCCAGGAGCTTGTCCCAAACCTTCTTCCCTAGGCGATGGAACCTGACGTTGAGGGCCTCTGTTTTATTTCTTAGGTGGATGGTTTCCACTGTCTCCTGGTAGGGTGGCGCTTGGCCACTGGCAGATCTCGAACACTTGTTTTGGAAGCTCTGTAGTTGTTGTAGTCTAGTCTTCCCGAGTGTGACGAGTGGTATAGATGGGTACTCCAACACAGGCCTGACCAGCGCCTTGTACAGGTGAACTTGCATCTTCTCAGGCATCAATTTAAAACGTTTTAATTTGGTTGCGGCGACTTTGGCTTTATTTAGTCTGTCCTTCACGTGGGGAATGATGCCCGTCCGAGAGATGATGAGGCCGATGCAACCTGCCTTCTTTAGAGTACTCAATCTTTTCGTTGTCGATCATCAATGGCGCTGGCTTGAATTTGGCTATGGGTATGACCTCAAATTTCGTTTTGTTTGTTTTTACTTTCCATTTATTTTCATACTCCGAGATCTCCTCTATTGCCCGAGCAGTGAGTCGCGCCATCCTTGCCGTGGACCTTCCTGGGCAGGTGACGATCTGTGTTACATCGTCGGCATACATGACGTACTCGCTGCCGACGATTGGGGGTGGCAGGTCAGCCGTGTAGAGTGTGTAAAGGGTTGGTGAGAGACAATAGCCCTGAGGCACGCAGCTCGATAGTGAGAATTCTTCTCCAAAATGTTCTTGCATCTTGATTTTGGCTCTGCGGTCCATAATGAAGTTGCACAGCAGGCGCGTCAGATTTTCGGGTAGCCCCAGTTGTATGATCTTATACTGCAGCCCTGCGTGCCAAACTTAACAAACCGATAGGTTGCCCACATATAACCTCCCATCACCCACATATAACCTCCCATCACCCACATATAACCTACACCCACATATAACCTACCATCGCCCTCATAAAACCCCCCATTACCCACATATAACCTCCTATCGCCCACATATAACCTACCATCGTCCAAATAAAACATCCCATGGCTCACATATAACCTCCCATTGCCCACATATAACCTACCATCGCCCGCATAAGACATCCATTGGCTCACATAACCCCTTTCGCCCACATACAGTATAGCCCCCATCGCTTACATTCTGTAAAGTCTCCCATCACTCACTCAGTGTATAGTTTCCTATCGCTTACCTACTGTATAGCCTCCCATCGCTCACATGCTGTATAGCCTCCCATCGCTTACCTACTGTATAGCCTCCCATCGCTCACATGCTGTATAGCCTCCCATCGCTCACATGATGTATAGTCTCCCATCGTTCACATGCTGTATAGCCTCCCTTCGCTTACATACTGTATTGTATAGCCTCCCATCGCTCACATACTGTATAGCCTCCTATCTACATACCGTATGGTCCTTCATCGCTCATATATAGCCCTTCTAGCCCATATATAGCCTCCCATACCCCATATATAGCTCCCATCACCCATTGCCCATCGTCCAACGCTCACGTTCCCTCTCTTAAGTAGAAAACACCATTGTATCTAGTGCCATATCTCGCTTTTCTGACCTGACCTGGCTTCCCGCACTGTATGAAGCTTTGTACAGGTGTGAGAAAGTTGCATTGTCTGAATTAGTTATCTCGGTACCTCGGCCCTATAAATTTTAGATTGTTTAAGTACCATAACCAAACTGTATAGAGGAAAATACAGTGTGACGTTGTGATACAGTGAGGTATTCCTGTGCAAGGTGAAGGGCAAAAGCATTTACAGCGCCTATCTGGGAAGCATGCGTAGTTCATGCTTGCCTTCATGAGTCATGCATTAAGGGCGCAAAACCCTGAAGGGTCATGGGTTTTGTTAGCAAGTTACATAAAGTGACAGAATGATCAGTGTGTGGGGGCAAAATTCCGGGTATAATTTATCTGTTTATGGCAAAGCGTGGCAGGTCCCTAATAATGTTAAGTGTCAGGCCTGTCTCTAGGAGGTGAAGAGGTGTTGGTAACAGGGTCATCAGTGGTTTGTAGGTAAGAAAGTCAGGATTTACCCAGGGAGTTTGGGTAGGGCCCCTGGGAGCAGAGATTGGGGTGTCGGGCATTGTGGTCCCCCACAAGGAGGGTTGGGGTGGAGGTGATACGTTGTGGTAGAACAGGTAGAGTAGAGGTGGAGGGAGGCACATAGGCATTGGCAATATTGAGGGACATACCTTTTAGTGTGATTGTGACGGCGTGTACGTCGGTAGTGTCTGCATCAAGGTGAACGTCGAAAGGTTGGTAGGGGACGTCGAGAGTTGGCAGGGGACATCCTTCTTGGTGTAGATGTGTAGTGCACGTACATATCCTCATGGTGGTCCGTTGTTGCGGTGAACTGGAGTGGTTGGGCCCCAGGTGCCGGCATGCCGGTAGGGGACGGGGACCCGGGGGTGGTGTCTTCGGGTCCAATAGGGGGCCCTGGTGGAGACAGCTCAGAGACATGAGCAGGCGAAACTTGCGGTGGGTGGACAGCATGAGGCACCACGTGTCGTGGTGATGGGGCGGCACGTGGCACAGGGGTAGCAGGACACACCGGGGCAGGCTCGGTAGGTGCCACGCCAGCAGTGATGCCAGGCAGAGGTGCAGTAGGCTGTGAGCATGAGGGGCACACAGGGAAGCTACCAGCTTGTGTCAAACCAGAAGAGGGAGGTGAATGGGTAGCAGCTGAATGCAGGGGTAGTCGGTGTAGGTCGAAGATGGCGGTACAGAATGTGAGTTTTTCAACAAGTTTGGTAAATTCGTGGAAGAGGGATATGATCTGTGTCATGTCACCGGAGGGGGGGTTGTGGGTAGTTAGTTAGGAGATGGCCGGGACTGCTATGTTGCAGCCTGGTGAGGCCAGGCGGGGGCACGTGTTGTTGAAGAAGGAGGCGTTACTTGAGTAAGAGGAGGGGACGCAGAGGTAGGCTTGGGGGGAGGTTGAGTTTGACACGGCCTTCGGGAGGCTTTTCCTATGGGACAGGCGGACGTTTGGGGCATTGCCGTGAGTCAACATTGTGCCAGCCACCACAATTTCACCCACCCAGGCCTCTGCCATTAAGGTTGAGGTCAGAGGTCAGGCACTGAGACACCAGCGACTCGCCACCTACCCCCCTCACAGTCACAGTCTGACCACGTCAGGGGACAGACGTGAGCCCATAGGTGTTCCTGTCCTCCCGATCGTCACACAAAGGCCACCTCAGTCTCTACCTACCCCTTTGCCGCCAAGTGTTGCCAGCGATGGGGCGGGGGAGGGGGTCGACGTAAGCGCCCCAGAAGAGGCGTCCCCTCTCTCTCATGGATATGGACATTTCTGATACGGATAGTCATAGTGCATCCCGCACCCTGCAAGAGTCAGACCTCAGTGATAGTGACAGTAACAGTAATGTTTCTATGGGAAACACTTGCCAGAGTGGCAACACCAATGCCAAGGGCAGGGAGTTTCCCCTCGCCACCCACCCCTCTGCCAACCAACCAAGTATGCTTAATCTGCACTTTCCCAAGGACTCATCGAAAACCGTCGAAGAACGGTTTAATTGGACAACAAAGTACCGGAGACAACACGGTCTCACCATTCAATTCCGAAAAGGTAAGAACCGTAACTTTATCAAGTGTCAGACACCTGAGGTCCATGAAACACTTAGTACTGTTGGATTTGACGGGGTTGTCCTCGTGCCTCCTCCTGCTGACGCAGCGGAATGTTGCCACATCCTAGTTAAACAGTTACCCCTGTATGCTGAAGTCGAAGATGCTCGTAACTTTAATCCACGTATACTCAGTATACGTCGACACTACCGAGGGAAGACCTCACAAGCAGCTGTCATAGTTAAATGGAAGGGGAGGGAGTGCCCAACCACTGTTGAGGCCCACCCAGTCCTCCCTCGACTGTATGCAGAACCCTATCACCTTGGGCCTGCTTTTTGTGTCATCTGCTGCCATTGGAGTCATACCTTCACCGCTTGCTCCCGACGTGATCGTCCCAGATGTCGCTTCTGTTCACGTAACCATCACTCCTCCGTCTGTGCCCCAAAAATTAAAGAGCACCTCAATGGGGGTGGTGTGGGCTATGTTGTTGACCCCAGGTGTTGTGATCGTGGTGGCTGGCACAATTCTGACTCACGACAATGCCCCAAACGTCCGTCTGTCCCAGGAAAAAAGCCTCCCCGAAGGCTGCGTCAACCTCAACCTCCCCCCCCCCAGCCTACTGACCTACATCCCTCTGCGTCCCCTCTGTCTCCAGCAACGCCTTCTTCAACAACACCTGCCCTTGCCTGGCCTCACCTGGCTACAACACAGCAGTTCCGGCCGTCTCCTAACTCAATTACTACTGGGCCTCCTCCCCGTCTCTACAGTACTCTGATGCTGTCAGGCCTTGTGCTCCCACCGGTGCCCCCAAACAACCCCCCTCCGGTGACACGACACAGATAACATCCCTCTGACACGAATTTACCAACCGTATTGAAAGACTCTTTGATACACTCTACCGCCATCTCCAACCTACACAGACTACCCCTGCCTCCAGCTGCTACCCAGTCACCCCCCTCTTCTGGTTTGACACAACTTGGTAGCCCCCCCCTCCCCCCCTGTGTGCTCCTCATGCTCACGGCCTACTCCACCACCGCCTGGCATCACTGCTGTCGTCCACGTCATTGCTGCCCCGGTGTGCCAGGCTGCCCCCGTACACCCACCGCTTGCTCATATGGGAGGATCTGAGAGTGGACAGCCCACTGTCTAAACCAATCACCTCGGAAGAACTTAACACGGCCATCTCCAATACCAAAAATTAAACCCCTGGTTATTCAGGCATCACCCATCCATTAGTAACCAATAATGCCCGGATAGAATACAAAAGCAGAGGCACCCTCCTGGGCCTGCATATATCCATGACAGAGTTACTCCCGTCATGTCCACACCAGGAAGGAAAAGGCAAGAAGAGAGCTGAGAAAACTATACTGCTTTAAAGCGCTTCCTTAGAAAATAAAACTCCGCCTGGTGACATCATTTATCACACCGATATTAACGTACCCAGCAGTACCTCTTCATACTATGAGTACCACTCAAATATTAAATTTACAGGTGGTCCAAAATGAAGCCCTAAGATTCGTCGCAGGTGAAAGATACCCCTTCACCAGAACCACAGCCGAGATACATAGACCTGAGAAAAAACCCATCAACCAGCAGCTGCACACCCTGTCCAGCAGAATCTGGAAAAAGATAGAACGATCAGAGCAAGAACTCCTTCAAAGACTCCCACCAGATAACGACAACAACCATACATGGTTCCCAAAAAGTTACCAAATCTCAAAAGATCCATTACCACCCCCGATCTACACGGCCAGGCAATAGACAACCTCCCAAGACCAGCCAGTAGGGTCGGCAGAATATGAAATAAGGCCCTTAAAGCACCCATATATGGGACAGGGTAGGATGTTTAGTGCCTGTATCGACAGGCAATAACTAACCCATGACACATCCCTAACACACTATTAGCTTAGCTAGGCGGTCAGCCCGCCCTCTCTTACCTCCTCCTAAATTTCTTCAATTTCCGAACAATAACTTCCTTCCCCCACCTCTAATCTTCTTTCATCCCTCCTTTCTCTAAAAAAAAAAAGAGGACACCACCCACGGCTCCGCGTCCCCCACAGGCATGCTGGCACCTGGGGCCCATCCACTCCAGTTCTCCACATCAATGGACCACCATGCGGACATTTTAGTGGATTACGTATCTACGCCAAGAAGAACGTCCCCTACCAAACTCTCGACGTCCCCCTTGAAGCCGACACTACCGACGTACACGCCATCACAATCACACTAAAATGTATGTCCCTCAATATTGTCAATGCCTATGGCCTGGCACTTGACATTATTAGGGACCTGCCATGCATTGCCATAAACAGATAAATTGTACCGGGAATTTTCCCACCACACAATCATTCTGTCACTTGTAACTTGCTGACAAAACCCATGACCCTTCAGGCTTTTACGCCCTAAATGCATGAGTCATAAAGGCAAGCATGAACTCTGCATGCTTCCCAGATGGGCTTTGTAAACGGTTCTGCACTTCACCTTGCACAGGATGTAAGGGGGTGCCCAATAAACTTGCCTCCTCGGGGGCAATCTAAAAAAAATATAATCTCTATCCCTCTCCTATAGAGGTCAACTTACCTCGTTTCGTAAGAAGGTTACGTCTCCCAATCACCTCTGACCGCCTGTGCGCCATACTACAGGATAACCAAACTTATATTTCGCGCATTGTAAAACAAAGTGTAATAGTGACTTCACATCAGCGTCAGTGAGCTATGACCATGTGCAAAGTGACTTTTGTGAGTGTAGTGCAGTGATCAATGTGACATTTGCTGGGACTCCACATTGCCCCTACACTTATGCCCATATTCCACGCACGTGGTACCGTAGTAACAGCTTCCCGACCATAAATAAATAATGTCGAGTTTTGACACTCCATGTCTTTACGGTTACCAAATTTATTTACAAAGCTTTGAGTACAGTTTGCCTATTCTAAGTAATTCAACCAGGTCTTGACACTGAGGGTGGTATCACTTCTCATTGCCACGCAGGACAGATAAGTTTAACAAATTTATTGACAAAGCTTGGAGTACAGTTTGCCTATTCTGAGTAATTCAGTCAGGTCTTGACACTGAGGGTGGTATCACTTCTCACTGCCACGCAGGACAGAGGTTCATACACAATGAAATACAAGCTATAATGTGCAGAGAGGCAACGTAACCAACAATTGCCCTCTCTTTTCCCTAAAATAGTACGCCTAGACTTCCCTGACGCCACGGAAACAACTGATAAATATGCTGAGTTACATGAGGAAATTATCAACGCTCCCACTGAAGACACAAACAACATAATGAACACTGCCATGGAAAATTACATACAACAGCTTTAAGATCAACTGATCAAACAAAATGAAGTGATCAAAGACCTTTGCAACACAGTAAAGGGACTGAGCACCGTGATTTTTCAGCAACGCAATAATTGTAATAGAAAGAATTATCCGGAAATAGCAGTCCCTAAACGTGGAAACTCAAGATCCACCAGGAACTCGTGTCCAAGCAGAGGAAAACAGTGATTCTGGTAACAGTTTTATTGATGCCTCTGTGGACATAGTCAGTGAAGATGAACAAATACAAACAGAAAATGGTGGTGATGTACATTGTGTCCAAAGTGTGTTAATGTCTCCCACTGAAATACAGGCAGCACGGACATGGAAAAAAACAATGCCATACAGTGCTTTCTGCTTTTTTCCAAATATAGTACGTCCAAACCCGCCAGTGTTTATACCAAACAAAGATACAGAGAAGTGAAGGTGATGAGTTGGAACATCTCATCCCTTAGAAAACGATACCCTGACGTCCACCACAAAGTTGTGACTGAGGACATCGATCATGCGTGTCTGCAGGAGTGTCTCACACCTAATGGTAAGCCCCCACCCAGTTTGCCAGATTATGTTTATTATAATCCTAGTTCTACTCACACATGTTTGATGTATGATAGGAAGTCACTAACGTATGTACCTCTTATATCCAAAAAGACTCCCAACTTTCAGTAACATGGGATCACTATCCATCTGGGCAACTCTACACTCAATGTGCTAAACACCGATGCTCCCTCAGATCAGACTGGTGAGGGTTACAAAAACCTCAGAACACCTCAAATGCTTAAACTGTTTCAAGCTTCACTCGCTGTAGTCAGGGAACGCGTGAATGAACATAGACAAAATGCATGGGGAAAATATGTCAACAGTCTAAAGCAACACAATCCCTTCAGCAAAGCCTAGAGGGACATAAACACAATCAGAGGTAAAAATCGAATGAGCTAATAACAAAGTGGGCTCATATCTCTAGCTATGACATGTTACCAACTAGGACTCGAGTGCTCTTTGATGCGAAGTCTGTAGAGAGAAGTAATCTTGTTAACTTTATGCTGGGCAAACAGCACGAAGAGTGTGGTGTTCCATATACTGAGTGGGAGCC